ATCCACTCACCTCAGCCTCCCAAAGGCGTGGGATTACAGGCTGAGCCACTGAACCCGGCAGGTTTTTTCTTAAAGAAAGAGTTAGCCTGGCCTGGTGGCGCATGCCTGTAGTCCCAGCTACTTGGGAGGCTGAGGCGAAAGGATCACCTGAGCCCAGTAGTGTGAGGCTGCAGTGACTTTGAGTGTGCCTGGGTGACAGAGTGAGACCCCAATTAAAAAAAAACAAACCAGAAAATAAATAGAGCAGGCTCCAAGTCACTAAGCAGTGCCCACTGTAGTGCCCAAAGCTGTCACTCCCCTCTTGAGTTCTGATTGAGATAGAGCTTATATACGGTGCAGTTCACCTCTTTAAATCAAACAGTTTGAGGCATTGTGTGTATTCACAGCACGGTGCATATTTAGCTGCAGAACTTTCATCTCCCTGAAAGAAAACCCGTAACTTTACAGCGTCCCTCCCTCCAGCCCCTGGCAGCCTGTGACCTCCTCTCTGTCTCTGGATTTGCCTGTTGTGCACACGGCACACAGTGGGGGGGTGCACTGTGTGGCCGCTCATGTCTGGCTTTGGTTCGTGTGACAGCATGTGTCCATGCTTTACTCCTTGTGGTTGGGTAGTACTCTGTTGTGTGGGTAGATGTGTGTCTGCCCGCCGGTGACACATGGATCCTGGGCCTTGCATGGTCTCCAGCCGCCTTCAGGCACCTGGCATGATGGTGCACCTCCCTGCAGGCCATGACGCTGATGGAATACCTCATCAAGACGGGCTCAGAGCGTGTGTCGCAGCAGTGCAAGGAGAACATGTATGCCGTGCAGACTCTGAAGGACTTTCAGTACGTGGACCGCGATGGCAAGGACCAGGGCGTGAATGTGCGTGAGAAGGCTAAGCAGCTGGTAGCCCTGCTGCGTGATGAGGACCGGCTGCGGGAGGAGAGGGCGCACGCTCTCAAGACCAAGGAGAAGCTGGCGCAGACTGCCACAGGTGAGGCCCATCCCTTTTCTCCCCAGTGTTTGCGGCCTGGGCTCTGGTCTGGAATCTCCTCTTGCCAGGGCCCCTGGGCCCAGTGCCGAGCCCTTGTCCTTTTCCCCCCGGGCCTGGTCCTGGGCTCCCCTGGGCCCTTTCCTTCTCCCCCTCCTCCCTGCAACTCTGAGGACAGCACACTCATTATCAGCTGCAGGGCTGAGGGGCGTCGGGGAGGAAGGTGGCCCTGGCCTAGAGGAACTGCCAGGCAAGTGCCATGGTCCTTTCTGAGAGCAGCTGGTGACCTGGCTCCCCAGACATAGCCTAGGGCCGGCCCTCTGAGGGCACACGCATGCTGACCCCTGAGGGTGCTGGCCCTCCATGGGTGCCAGGATGAGGGTAGTCTGGACAAGACACAAGGGGAAGGCTGGAGTCCCAGCCTGTGGTCACCGCAAGGCCTCTGGGTCTGCTTTTAACAGCCTTTTAAATGTTATCAGGGAGCGGGCTCAGAGTGGTGGGTGGTGATCTGTGTTAAAAAAAAGTTGAGGCCTGGTGTGGTGGCTCATGCCTGTCATCCCAGCACTTTGGGAGGCTGAGGCGATTGGATTGCCTGAGCCTGGGGGTTCAAGACCATCCTAGGCCACTTGGAGAGACCTTGTTTCTACAGTAAATCGAAAAATTAGCCAGGTGTGGTGGCATATACTTGTAGTTTCAGCTACTTGGCAACGCTGAGGTGGATTGCCTGAGCCCAGCAGGTTGAGGATGTTAGTAGTCGTGAGCGTTCCCCTGCTCTCCAGCCTGGGCGACACTGACTCAAGAAAGAAAATGGAAATAGCATAGCCCACATTGTCAGGCGTGGGTCTGTCTCACAAGACGTTTCCAGCTGTGTGGATGGGATGTGCATCCTGGGCTCTGCTGGAGTATGTGTTCTGTGTTGGTCAGGAGCTCACGGCCAGTGTGGGGAATGCTGGGGGAATGTCTGGGAGGCTCTTGCTGCTTTCTGGGTCACATGTGGAGCTGCCCTAAGTAGTGGTATTGGCTGGGTTTACCAGGGCAGGGGAGCCTGTGACCCCCCGGAGTCAGGCTGGACGCTCTGGGCTTGTCTAAGGGAGAGTAGGCCTTCCGTTTAGTTGTGTCTTATTTGGGGTCACTGTTCGGCACCCTCTTGGAGATACAGGGCACAGAAGGATGTGTGAGGCCCACCGAAGACCTGTGAGCCTACAGATGGTGCTGGAAGCTGAGCTGGGTGTTGGAAGGGGAGCTGGGCGGCATAGGAGTGATTAGTGCTGGGGCCGCCAGGAGGCAGGGTGTGGGTGGCCTTGCTGACTCCAGGGGATCAGACGGGGTTGGGGTGGCTGAGGAGGGTCGTTGGTGGAGCCGGGAGGGAGCCTGGGACCCTTAGTGGCTGAAGGTCCTAGAGCAGAGAAGGTTGCACTTCTCCCCTAAAGGGCAGAGTATGAGTCTCTCCCACTTTCAGGCCATACTGGTCCATCCACAAGGGAGTGAAGGAGTCCTCATACGTTCTCAGACTCGTTACAGACTTGGAAACTTGAATTTCATGTTGCTGTCACACATCTTGATCTATCGTTTTCATTTTTCTCTCAGCCATTTCTTAGACCTTTCTAGGACAGCTTTGGTTGTGGCCCTAGTCTGTTGGCCCCTGTCCTGGAGCAGGCTATGTGGAGGGGTGGGGGGTGGAGGGCGAGGGCAGTAGGGTGTGCAGGCTGGGAGGGGCTGATCGCCCTGGGGAGCACCAAGGCTGGCACCCGGGATGAGAAGGCCGGGTCTGTGCTGGCTTGGTGCCTTCACTCCTGGGAAGCGTGAGGTGGGCCTGCTGGCTCAGGGCTGGGTGCTGAGGGCTGGGGCCTCGGGGCATTTGCAGGGCAGAGGCTTGGCAATGGGGCGTGTGCTCCCAGCACCCACCTGGGAATCCTGAGAGTTCTGGAGGTAGCCACTGGGGCACAGAAAGGGGGATACAGGTACCATCCTCACCTGTGCCCCCCAGTCCATCTGTCCTCCCAGATCGTTCCTTATCCACCTGGTCTGTCAGCCCCTTTGGTTCTTTCTCACCCCTTCTCATTTGTCATCCCAGTCCCAGCCTGTATGTCCCCCTCCCTGGCCTTGGCACTCACGTCCCCTCGGGGCTTCTCATGCACCCATCCCCTCCTGGGGACACCTGGCCGGGTCTGGCCCAGGACTGGCTGCACTGAGTGCAGGTGGGGCTGCGGTGCAGCTGCTTGCTGCAGTGTGGGGTGAGGAGGAGCCAGGGCCTGCCTGTGAGGAGAGGCCTGGACCGGGCGGTGGGTGGGAACCCAGGACACAGGTGCTACAGATTTGGAGCTGGAGCACAGACCTGGCTGAGGAACCCACGGTGGGGAGGGTGGGGGCAGGAGGGGTGGGTTCTGCTCCAGAGCCTTGGAGGCTGGGGTGATGGCCCTGGGGCCCAGATGGAGCCTGTCCTCTGTGTGGCAGTGGGACAAGGATCTATAGGTCCTGGGGGAGTGAGGTGGACAGAACCTATCCTAGGTGGCCTTGGGGAATGGAGTGGACAGAGCCTGTCCTGCTTGGCCTTAGGGAGTGGAGTGAACAATGGCAGAATGGACGGGCGACAAGGAGAGGCTGCCTCAAAGGCTGGGGCTATCTCAGCCCTCTCTGGGCGGGGACCAGCCGTGCTTTTGTGTGCCCTGGGACTTCCTCCCTCACCTCCTGGAACCAGGGCTCCTCTTGGCCCGCTCCCTCCCTTACTGGGCCTTGGATCCCACAGTCTGAACAGATGCTGTCCTTCCCATTCCCTACCAGAACTGCAGTCCCAGAAGGCCTTGGACACTGAGGCCCAGACTTCTCCCTGGGCTATACTGGAGGCCGCAGGCCTGGGAGACCCAGGAGGAAGGACTTCCTGTCCCCTGGGGTCCCAGGACAGACCCCAAGGCTTATGGGGAGCCCTGGCATCAGAGCTCAGGCTCCCAAGGCCCACTAGCACATTTACTCCTGCCCTTCTCAATTCCCGCCTCACTCCCCTCTGCTGAAGGCTTTGTCTGCTCCTCGCCTCTCAGTCCCCACCTTTGCCTTCCGAGGCCACGGGTCTGGGCTGTGGGCTGTGGTTCTGCTCCCCGGCAGGGCCTTACCCCCGCTTCTCCTGCAGCCTCGTCGGCAGCTGTGGGCTCTGGGCCTCCACCCGAGGCGGAGCAGGCCTGGCCGCAGAGCAGCGGGGAGGAGGAGCTGCAGCTGCAGCTGGCCCTGGCCATGAGCAAGGAGGAGGCCGACCAGGTACTGGTGCGTGTGTGTGGCCTTGCCGTGCTGCCATCGTCTCCATGCCTCACCCAGGCCCCTCCTGCCTCCACTGAGCACTCTGCACCTCTGTCCTGTGCTCTCACCCACTCCTCTCCCCAGTCCTGTCCTCTGTCCCTTCCTTTTCTCTCTGGGGCCTGTCCTGCCTGGCCTTTCCTTGGCCATCTGTCCCTCTGCGCTCCTCTCTCTGCCCGCCCTTGCTGGTTTGGGTGATGGCCGCTCACTCCCCTAGCCCGTCTGACCTGGCCGTCCCTCTCTTGGCCTGCCTCTCTGTGACTCTGGCCCTGGCCACCTCCCCTCGCCCCTCACACTCTCTCTCCCCCAGCCCCCATCCTGCGGCCCCGAGGACGACGTCCAGCTCCAGCTGGCCCTTAGTTTGAGCCGAGAGGAGCACGATAAGGTCAGAGCAGCCTCCCTGCCCCGGCTGGGTCTCCCTGCGGACTAGCCCCGCTGGCCCTTCCTCAGGTGCCCCTGCCCCCCTGGTGGGCCCAGCTATAGGCTCAGGCGCCTGGAAACCTCAGTGTCTTCAGCCATAGGACCTCAGACCAGGCAGGACCTGGGTGGACGCCAGGGTGGGAGATGCCACCGAGCCAGGCGCCTGACAGGAGGCCATGATGAAAAGGGCTGCCCTGTCTCCCTGGGACCCAGTGCTTTCCCCCACTTGGCAGGACCTGTCCTGGGCCGTCCCCAGCATGGTCCCTGTACTCCTCATCCCCAGACCACACGCCCTTCCCTGTGTCCCCCCCTCATTCCATACGTTGTCCGCATCCCATTTTAGTTTCCAGTCACCTTTGTTGAAGTGGGAGGGGACCATGGGGCCTTCTAGGTGGGGGGTGGCTGCATCTACTGGCTCAAGCACTGAACCCTCTGGGTGGCTGCTCCGTGTCCACAGGAAGAACGGATCCGGCGTGGGGACGACCTGAGGCTGCAGATGGCCATAGAAGAGAGCAAGCGGGAGACTGGTGGCAAAGAGGAGGTAAGTGGGGTGAGGCTCTGTGGGCCCCTTCATTCAGGCCTTGTCCTTCAGCCGGGCCTTGGGATTGGGTGGCTTGTCGTTCCATGTCAGGCCCAAGGTCATTCGCATGACTGGGGCCGGAGCATCCTCGGTGGCCTTGTCCTCCAGTCTCTTCCCTGGCCTCCCCCTGGCCACTGGTCTGTCCCAGGTATCTTCACAGCTTGGCAGATGCTGCTGCCACTGCCCAGGGCGAGCCCACCTGGCAGGCTCAGAGCTGCTTGACCTGTACCACTGCTATTGTCTCAGCGGGTCCCATGGC